GGGACTCAAACAGCAGTCGACTACATGGGAGTCCAGCGACATAGCCATCACGCTAACTGCTGGTCCCCACACAGTGATTCTTAATGTAAGCAGGGGAAGGTGATCAAGATAGATGACCCGTCCTGAAGGGATGTGGTCTCACATATTCCTAAGGTAGACCTAATCTCCTGGCTCAGACCTCCCCAGGTCTTCTATTGGATCGTGTGGAATTGCTGTCTTCCCAGCCCTCCTTCCCTTTTCTCCTGCACTCGATTACCTTCCAGATCCCCTGGTCAGTGCTGTCGCGTCCAGCATTGCTGCTCTCCCCGCCCTGCCGCCCCGGCCTAGCTCAGGTCTCTCCTCCATCCTGTTCCAGGCTGTAGACGCCCCATGATGATTCCTTCCTAAAGCATTGCGCATACTTCTCTGTAGGGAACCTCAGTGTCTCTAGGAGGGTGCTTTTCAAACTTCAGCATCCCCTGGAGGGCTTCGGTACAACAGGGATTGCTGAACCGCACCCAGAGATCTCTCATTCAGTAGGTCTGGTGCAAGGCCTGATAACTCACTTTCCTAAGAAGTGCCAGGTATTCCCTAGACCACCCTGTGAGGGTCTTGGCTCTAGGAGAGCCCCTCTTCCTTGGAGCCCAGGCCTACTCCGGTGTGTTCTTTTCAACTTCCCCACTCTCCTCTGCTCAGGCAGTGCGCCCCGGAGCCCCTCTGCTCACGAAGGATAACACTTGGGTTCCTGGCACACGAGTTTGTGTCAAACTCACCTGATTCCACCCCATTTTACAGCCATGAGAGCTCCTCAGTGGAATGCAGAAAGCCTTATTGCCCCTGAAAAATACCAGGAGTGAACGCGGACCAGGATGAGAGGAGCAGAAAGCGCCATGCTAAGTAGTGTCGTGAGGCCCTCCCATGAGCTGGCCTGGCCCGCCATCCCTCCAGGCCAGGCTCTGAAAGCCAGGGCGGGCTCAGGGCCAGGACGCAATTACGGCCAGGCTCCCGTGGCCTCGCGCCCACTTACTTTCCTGCTTCCTGTTTCCCTCCTTCTCCTTCTCCTTCTTGTCTGTCATTCGCCCCCCCTCCCCTTTCTCTTCCTACCTGGGCCCAGGTGCTCTGGTCTTTATGTGGCTTCAAGGGTAGAAGAGGCTTCTGATGCTTACTGTAAAACCACAGAACAGCTTCTGAATTCCAGGCTATTTGTGGGAGTGAAGGCACTGTTATGAGGACACGCTGCAGAGAGGACCTGTGAGTGCTGAGGAACACTCCTACGTTCATGTTTGGTTGGTTCTTGTTCACCAGAGAGTGTGTGTGCTTGCCAGAGTGAAATAGCGAGAGTGAGAGAGGAAGACAAGGCACCCGCAGTGGGACGTCATGCCACAATCCCTTCTCCTCTCTCTCTCTCTCTCCCCTTCCTTTTGGGATTCAGGTGCACAGACGCATGCGCCCAGTGTGTTTTTCAAGACATTGAGGCTGGGACTTTAACTGCACAGTTGGCCATGTGGTATCCCACTCCCTTCACCCCGACACCATGGGGCTGGCCCTACACATTCATGGGTTTTTATTTTTATATTTTAGAGAATTTTGGGGGGCTATAGGGCGTGTGCACTTGCCAGAGAGACAGAGATAGATGGAGAGATAGAAAATGAGAAATCACCCTCCCGCCGGGGAGAATGGCCATGCTGCATTCCCTTCTCCTCCATTCTTCTTAGGATTTTGGTCACGCACACACACACATTCCCAGAAAGTTTTAAGCTGCTTGGTCTGGAACTTGAACTGTGGGAGTCCAGCAACATAACCATTACACCATCTGCCAGCCCCTGCACATTAACATTGTAAAGGAAAGGGGCTGGCAGGTGGCGTGGTGGTTAAAGGCACTGGATTCCCACATGGCCGACCATGGTTCAAGTCCTGGACCTGGTGGCTTGCTTTCTCACTTCCCTCTCTCTGTCTCTTCCTGATCAAACTGGAAAATAATAATAAATAAAGTTAAATTAAAATAATTCTTTTAAAAAATATTGTTATACACACACACACATATATATAAAACATACCCTGAAAGTGGACACATGATGTCTACATTTTACAGAAAAGAAAACAAATTCAGAGATTGTCACACTAAAGCATGACACTAAAGAGAAAAGATTATTTTCGTCTTTACGCACATGAAGGATAACCTCTTTGCTGAATAAAGTCACATGACATGGTTAATAATTGTGGTTGGATAGAAGGTAATAGAAAGTTTCTGTTAAGACAAAGAGCTTATAGGAAGGGGAGTAACTTTCCTATTTTTTTAAATAATTCATGAAGTGGCCAACAGGTGGCATGGTGGTTAAGGGTGCCGGACTCCCATGTGGCTGACCGTGGTTTGAATCCCAGACCTGGCGACTTGCTTTCTCGGTTTCTTTCTCTCTCTCTTTTGCTCTGTCCCTCTCTGGCCACATTTAAAATAAATAAATAAATATAAAGAAAATAATTCTTTACAAAATCAAAAAGAGTTCATAAAGACAGATCTAGAGGTCCTTTCCTTAAAATAAAAGGTCTCCACATTGGGTCTTGCCCTGGAATCCCGTTTCCCCATCAGCACTGCCTACCCTAACTGACCACACTTTGAGACCCGGCTCTCTCCTCCCTTCCTTGTGGAGTCTTTCCTGTTTTCATTCATCAAACCTCAAGCCAGAAGTAATCTTCTACTGTTGCACAGTGCTTTCTCGTGACACCAGAATTCCTTGTGTTCATGGTCCAAGAGTTTCTTGAGTATTGCATATGTGAAGGCCCCTCCCTGAAATTAAAAATAATAATAGTAATATTAAATTAGAGGCTCTCCCATCATGGTAGTTGAACTTGCATTTTGTCAGCCTATAAAGACCAGCTGTGGGATTCCTGTGCTGTCTAGATCCCTTACGGTGTCTCTGCGGCCCAGGAGTGCTCAGCAGCTCAGTGGAAAATGCCCGTCCCTTGAGATTACTACAACGACTGCGCGAGCCTAGGGACATTCTCTCATCTGTGGGCAGTTCACCAAAGCGGGTGTGCTCACGAAGCCAGCAGAGGAAGACCAGGGACGTGCACAGCGACATCAAATTTGCATAACTACACATGGTACAGATAAAATGAATAAGGACCTGACTCAGCCCATCCGTATACTTCACAAATGATGATTTTAGTTAGCAGATGCCGTAGGAGAAACTGACGTTCCTAACGCTGTGTTGCAGCTGGCAAGGAGATAAAACAGTGGAAGTAATGCCGGAAAGCACGCAGATAACATCACAGAAGGCCCCCGAGTGGTGTGTCATTTCCCCAGCGCTGACAGGGCTGTCCTCTGTGCTAGTGATGGCAGCCACCTGAGAACCGTCCCAGCGGCTGTGCTAGCGGGAGAGTCCTGTCCTTTCTCGCTCTCTTGGGGGCCTACCTGGCAGGACCAGGGCCACTAGGTCAGTGAGCCTCTCTTCCTTTTTCCTCAGTTGTTTCCTCTTCCCAAAGATCTTTTTCACAGCTGTGCTGTCCTAGCCTTATTTCTTCTCCAAAGGTTGCACCTCCAGGTCAGTGATTGCTTTCCGGTAGAACACGAGCTTCGTTCACTCCGCACACTCATCCGAGCAGCCGTCCTGCAGGGAACTCTCCACGAGGCACGGCGGATTACATGGGAGCACATTAGGCTTTAGATGTTACTTTTTAATGGACAAACAAAACTTGTACATATTTTTGGTGTATAGCAGAAGGGATTTTTTCAGAACTATTGTACAATGTGACCACTCTCGTTAATAACAATGTATTATATACTTAAACACCACCTAGGCAGTAGATTCTAAGTTTTCTCACCACAAATAAGTACATGAGGGAATAGATAGGTTATTTGGCTTGATTTAGCTATTCCACAGTGTTTAACTACATCAAACTCTCATGTAGACTTTTTTTTAAATAATTTATTTTATTTTATTTATTTATTCATTTATTTCTTAATTTGACCAGAGAGAGACAGAGGGTGAGAGTGAGAGAGAGAGGAAGTGAGAAAGCAAGCCACCAGATTCAGGACTTGAACCCTGGTCGGCCATGTGGGAGTGTCCAGCACCTTAACCACCACGCCACCTGCTGGTCCCCTCTCATGTAGACTTTTTATTTTTTTTAATGTTTATTTATGTTCTGAGGCCAGCACGTGGTGTGGTGGTTATGTTGCTAGACTCCCAGATGGCTCACTGTGGTTTGAATCCTGGACTTGGCCATTTGAAAATCACACTGGGCACTTGTGTTTGCATGCCCAAAATCTCAGCAAGAGATTAGAGAAGGGACTGCAGTGCGGCCGTCCCCCTGGGGGGTGATTTCTGACTTTCCCTCTCTCTGTCTCTCTGGCAAGTGCCCATGCCCTATAGCAAAATCTTTAAAAAATATATGTGTTCTTTATTCATGATAGAGTGCATGTGTGCGAGAGAGCGCGAGAGAAGCTCTTCCACAGGGTCTGGTCAAACCACAGTCCTCCGCTGAAGTCTGCCGGCTCCTGGGCACTCCTATGCCCTGCATAGCTCAGGCTGGCTAGACCAGGGATTTGAACCACAGTCGCCAGGCGAGATCTAGCTCCTCCTGAGCTGCAGTTTACTGTAGCCCCACAGAGCCAGCCCGACTTTTTATTTGTAATGCATCCTTCTAACATTGCCCTCTGCCCCTTTTTCAACAGGGTACGAACGGCGCTCGAAGGTCCGCGCTCCTTGACAGCGACGAGCCCTTGGTGTACTTCTATGACGACGTCAGGACGCTGTACGAGGGTTTCCAGAGGGGCATACAGGTGTCAAGTAAGCATCCCGCTGCACTCACGGGGCTCACTGGGAAACGGTGGCCTTTCAGGTTTGATGTGCTCCGATCTGCCTACTTAGTGGGGTTCGAGTCTGTCTGCCTCCTCCCCTAACCACGGTTAGTCTCAAAGCTCACTGAACCCTCTAGATGTTTCCTGTGGCCGAGGGGCTTCATGGTTAGATCTGCGTTCAGTATCTTCCACATTGCGTGGAGAGTCACGTGTCCATTAACCCATGATGGGCTCTGATGTTTTCTGCGGCCTATTTTATTAGGCCCAGCCCAGCATTTTCAAGCTTACTTGACCATGAGACCCATATTTTGAGAAAGAAATTTTGACAGGACCAGCAGTTGGCATAATGGCTATGTTGCTAGACTCTCATGTAGTCGACCACCATTCGAGCCCCAGACCCGGTGTCTTAAACTCACACCAGACACGTGTGCGTGCATGCCCAAGATCCCGAGAGGAGAATGGAGAAGGGATTGAGGCGTGGCCATCCCCCCCCGGGGGGGTGATTTCTCACTTTCTGTCTCTCTGTCTGTCTCTGTCTTTCTGGCAAGTGCACATGCCCTATAGCAAAACCCTCTCAAAAAAACGTTGGCTCGAGGGGTTGCCCTGAATTGTTCACTGTGCCGTGAGGGACTCCATGACGTCCGTCACTTTCCTCATGCCCAGCGCCTCCCTTTATGCAAAGACAGCAGTAATGTATTCTCATTAATGTTTGAAAACACAGAAGTTCACCTTTTTTCCAAAACCTTCCTGGTCAGTTATGTCCATCCCCTACCTTCAAATGAGGCGTTTTCTGCTCCCAGCGTCTATACCTACTTCTGCGACAGCCCTCATGGCACGGAGGTGCTCGCCTGGCATTCTGTGCCACCGTCCTGTGCCTTGCCAGGCTTCTCTGTACACAGCGCTGACTGCCCAGCACACACTAGGTGCTGCATTAATGCACCCTCAGGGAAGGAAGGACAGCCTCTGGTTCTCCCACCCGGCTGGGCTTTTAGCCTCTTCATTTTTGCGAATGCCCTCTTCCCCTGTGACATTAACCTTGGGATCCATACTTTGTTAGTTACATCGTTGGGTGGTTAGCTTTCACGTGAAAATGCTGTTTTTTACTTTTTGTAGTTTACTATATGGACATGTGTGCTTGCTGGAGATAGACAGCGACAGATAGAGGAGGGGAGTGAGGAAGCATCCCCCCCTGGGGATGGCTACACTGCAATCCTTTCTCCTCCAGTCTTCTGGCAGCATTTTGGGCACACATAACACACATGCCTGGTGGGTTTTTCAAGATGCAGGTCTGAGGCTTGAACTGCTCAGTCAACCATGTGGAATCCAGCCCCTTTAACCTGCATACCACCTGGCCAGGTTAGCGTTTACTTTAGACACTGCTAGCTAGATTGTAGTCTCCTTACAGACAGGGACAGTGCAATATCCCCTTAATACAGGGCATGTCATTTGTGCTCAGGAAGTGCCCATTTTAGGGATCAGCAGTTAGCGTAATGGCTATGTCACTGGACTCCCAGCGGTAGCTGACCACGGTTCAAGTCCTGGACCCAGTGGCTTAAACTCACACCAGGCGCGTGTGTGTGCATGCCCAAGATCCCAAGAGGAGAATGGAAGAGAAGGGATTGCGGCATGGCCATCTCCCCTGGGGGGTGATTTCTCACTTTCTGTCTCTCTGTCTCTCTCTCTCTTTCTGGTGAGCGCACGCGCCCTATAGCAAAAAAATTAAAAAAAAGAAGTGCCCATTTTACTTGATACTGGTAAAGTTGGATATTACAGTTCATGGTATTTGCCCCAATATGCCTATAAGTGGGGTCGTTAAGCCTCACTTCAAAGGTAAAGCAAGTTTACTTGTACATGATTTAATTTGTGAACTCCTTCAAAGTTAGCGTCAAAGCAAGGGTCTATCTGTGATAAAAAATATCCATAAGGTAGAGCAGCTGAACACAGGCCACATGAAAGAGTGAGTGTGAGTGTGTGTGTGTGTGTGTGTGTGTGTGTGTGTATTCGTGCACACCCATTTTTCACCATTACCAAAAAGCATCTATTTAGATTCTTTCCAAGGTAGCAATGGAATGGTGTATGTAACTGACATTTTACTTCTAACTCTTCCCCTGATCTTTTTCCAAAAATTATTTAATTTTATTTACTAGTAGTATTTCTTTTTTTGAGAGGTTTTTGCTATAGGGCGCGTGCACTCACCAGAAAGACAGAGATGAGACAGAAAGTGAAAAATCACCCCCCAAGGGGGATGGCCACGCCACAATCCCTTCTCCTCCATTCTCCTCTCAGGATCTTGGGCACGTACACACACGCGCCCGGCGTGAGTTTAAGCCACCGGGTCTGGGACTTGAACCGTGGTCAACTACGTGGGAGTTCAGCAACACAGCCATTATGCTAACTGCTAGTCCCCTATTAGTAGTAATTTTTAATTTGCTATAGGGCATGTGTGCTCACCAGAGAGAGAAAAAAGTGAGAAAGTAAGCCGCCAGGTCCAGGGACCCGAACCATGATCAGCACCTTAACCACCACGCCACCTGCTGACCCCTTCCCTGATCTTAAGACACGTCACATAATTTATTTGGCCATTTACTCTACTTAGAAAATGAAGGTTCTTCTATGATGTTTCAGGGATGGTGAAGGAAAATAAGTTCAGTTTTCTTAATCTATACTGATTGATAAGGGAGCTTCTTCAGGTTACATTTTTCTTCTTCTTCTTTTTTTTTTTTTTTCTGCAGAAGCTTTTAATTCTAACCTATGAGTACCAGCATATGGTGAAATAGCTACTATGTCACTGGACTCCCATGTAGTCGACCACGGTTCGAGTTCCAGACCTGTGGCTAAACTCACATCGGGCGCATGTGCGTGCATGCCCAAGATCCCGAAAGGAGAATGGAGGAGAAGGGATTGCGGCGTGGCCATCCCCCCAGGGGGTGATTTCTTGCTTTCTCTCTGTCTTTCTAGTAAGCGCATGCGTTGCATAGCAAAAACCTCTCAAAAAAAAAAAAAATTCTAACTTCTGATTTCGTTAGGCCACCGTAGGATCTGAGTTTTGCTCTTTTATGGGAGAGCAAAACTCAGCATTTGGATAAGGATGAGGTGGTTGGAAGTTTACTGGGTAATGGGAGAAGCCAACCTAGAGGTTTTAAGCCTAATATTAAAATAAAACAAAAACAAAAACAGCCAGGGAGCCATGGGTAAAGACTGCATTTTCTGTTTATCAGTGCCACTCATCTCTGACCGTGCTTTGTATCACCTGGGGAGCTTTTAAAAAATACTAAGGCCCACCGTCTCCCTCCAGTTACCTCAGAAATGTCATTAGTAGGGCCTGGATGTAGTGCATTTTTTAGGAATCCACAAGCTTTTTCTGTAAAGGGGCAGGTAGTATATCTTTCAGTCACATGGTCTCTGCTCTAGCTACCCAGCTGTGGCCCGAGATAACCTGTGCATGAATGAGGGTGGCTGTGTTCCCGTGACACCGCACTTACGGAGACAGGCGGGCGGCCGGACCTGGTGCTTTAGCCTGGTTTGCCAGTCCCTGCTCTCAATAATAAATAGCACTCATGCATGTCACTGATGTGCCTTCTCCCCGAAGAGAGCAACGTCCGGTGGGATGGCCCTGTCTTTATTACAGGCCCTGCAACCTGGAGACAGTCTGAGAATAGGCCCCTCCTGTTTTCATCATGGCTGTGTCCAGCCTGTGTCCTCCCGTCCTCCTGACTGATTCTCGAACCCACGGGTGCATCACACTTCTCTAGGCCACCTCGGGTGGGGCCGTTCTCTTGCCTTCTCCCTACTCCCTCATGTCCTCAAGCCAAAGCAGAACCCCTTCATGAACGCTCAGGCTCAGAACAGCGTGGGTGTGGTATGGCCTTTTCTGCCTAGTTGAATCCTAAATCGGAATCAGGGCACATCCTGATATTTCTTAACTTGTTTGCCCTTGTGCATGTCCTCTTATTTCCCCTCATTTTGGATCTTTCCGTGTTTTTTTTTTTTTTTCTTTTTTACCCATGTACTTGTGTTCCAGGTAATTCTTGATACCTTTGGTCACACCATAGAATCTGGGCACAGAAAACATTGTCTCTTCCTTTACACATTTTGAGTTAGAATGCTTCAAACTCCTTTAGAAATGTTGAGGGCTACCTCCTCTGAAAAACCTACAGCAGAATCTCTCCCACTCAGCTACTGGGTGGTCCAGTGGGTGTTACAGAGGAGGTCACGCGGTGCGTGTCCTTAATCATACTTGTCTTTAAAAGTCTCTTTATTTCCCTTTTCTGCCCATTTAAGAAACAAAACAGAAACAAGCAAATAATAAATCAGACCAAAACCCAGGGAGCAAACATCTCCTATCTGAATTCACATTTTCTTGGTTTTTAAGTTTCTTTCTTTCATGTCAGAGAGCCAAGCACCACAACAGGTGTCAGGCCATACTTGCCCTTCCCTGTCGGCCTCAGCCAGCCAGGATCACGGGCAGGTGCAGGGCAGGTCCAGGTCCACGTGGGAAGCAAACCCCAATCTCCCGCGTGGCTTCCAGCATTGCAGAGCTTTGAGCTACTGCTGTGCCCCTCAGCCAGGCCTGCACTTACCATTTCTAACCTGAGGCCTAGAGTCTACAGACTTCGTAGAATGAGGTGGGATACAAATTGAACTCCAGGAATAGTGCTATATGCTAAGCTCATCCTTTTTCTCTTCTTTATTATTTGTTTAGATAATGGCCCTTGTTTAGGCTCTCGGAAACCAGACCAACCCTATGAATGGCTTTCATACAAGCAGGTGAGTTTTCTGGCTCCGTGGACTCCTCGGCAAGCTGTGGTGTGTTCACGAGGTATTCTTGGAGCCCTGGGGTGTAGGGGCTGAGAGTTCCTGCTGCCTGTGTGCTGGGTGAGCTTGGAACTTCAGGATAAACAGGAACATGCAGATGGGACAGATGTAACACAAAGATTCGGGGGAAACTAGATACGTACTATAGCTGGTGATTTTAAACACTTGTTTTAGGGGTTAGGTTTTTGCCATAGGGTTATGCTTTTGCCACATATACCCACCAGAGAGAAACAGAGACAGAAAATGAGAAACCACCCTCTAGGGGGGACGGACATAATGCAATCCGTCTCCTCGATTCTCCTCTTACGATTTTGGGCATGCATGCACACGTGCCAGAGTGATTTTCAAGCCACCTGGTCCAGGGCTTGAACCATGGTTAGTCATGTGGAAGTCCACACCTTACCCACCATGCCACCTGTTTGCCCCTAAGGCACTTTATTTTAAAACTAATGTGGATTCATTATGGAATATAATTTGTAAGATAAAATTCTAGGAAATACTTGAAATAGATCATTCCTTACCCAGAACTCCTAGTGGACAGAGTAAGACAGCTCCTCTCTGCCTGAAGGGTACTAGAAAAACTTAGAAGCCCCTCTGTGGAATGTCCCTCTTATTTCATGGCTGAGGGGAACATGCCCCAGGAGGAGATGCAACTGTCTCACACCACGGCTGGTTATGGCAGAACCAGGACCAGAAGGGAGGTCTGCGGCCTGCTGGGACCGGGCTCGTCTAGCGCATCACATTGGTCCTCAGAGCACGCTTCACCAGCCCACCACCCGTGTGACATTTAACCCCACGGCAGCCGTGGAGAAGGCTCCTGTTACTGCATAACCCAAGGAGGCAGGAGTTGGGACTTTTTACTCTTGTCCCTCCTTCAGGCCCTGCTGGTTGACAGCTGCAGCTGGTTACATAGTGTGTGAATGGCAGGAGGACCTTGCTGTTTAGTTCTGTTTTTCCCATGATCACGGTAAATGTTGGTGCCAGGCTCCCGCCCACCCAGGTCCAGGGGTACCCTGAGGAGATGGGTGAGGTTGGAAGTGTCAGCCCTGCCCCTCCGTTTCCAGAGCAGGGGCCCAGGAAGCAGCTCTGTCCCTGGGCGCTCGCTCCTCCCTGCTCTCAGGGCAGGTGATGGCTGGTGAGTACAAACGTGCTTCCTCCATCTGTGTTTTGTGCGAGAGGTGTTCTTAGTGGCGAGTGTGCTGGGGGTTGTCAGGTGGGCCACGAAGCTGCACTCATGGGAGTGAGTTCTTCCTTCTTGGGCCGAAACTCCTGGTTTCTTCCCTCAGTCTCCGAGGGTGACAGGGTGTAGAAGGCTTTGCTGGAGCAGCGTTCTCCCCCTCCAAAGAGTGAAGAGGTGACTCACTACCCGCCCAGAGGAGGAGGAATGAGCTGAGGATCGGGTGACTGGAGGGATTTCCCTGTTTTGATTTTGCCTTACCGGAGCCAGACAGTAGTTTCCAAGGTCCCTCGTTTTCCCTGGAGGTGCAAACAGTGTATGCTTTGGACACAGCATGGCACGATGGCCTTAAGGCCTCCCAGAACCTTCCGGTGCTTTCTGAACAACTTCTGTTGTATTTATTGGCCGGAAGAGAAAAGACCCACGTGTTACAGATTAGATTTTCAAGGCAGGTTGAAAATCAGTTCGATGTGATGTTTCTGATGGCGTTTCTGTGATTGCACGTTTCAGCTGGAGGCTGGTAAAGGATTCAAATTGGACGGAACCGGAGCGATTTGCACATTTAAATCTGTTTTGTCCCCCACCCCCGTCCCCATTCCCACAATGAATCTAACCTTTTGGGAGCTAGGAATCCCTGGGAGATTTTTTTGAAGAAAGATATAGGCCATCCTTCTAGAAATAAGATGTATGCATATTGTCCTCAGAAGCTGTGCAAACAGTGGCAGGTATTTCTCAGAGCTCCGTCCCTTCAGTGCACCCGGGAGCTGTGAACTAGCCGCTGGAGGAGGCGATTTGCCTCTTCATGTTATTCTGCCGCCTTGCCGGTGCCGGGCCGTTCCCACGGGCAGGGCTGCGTGGGGCTGTGTGCCAGAACCCACAGGTTTCAGGCCAGGGATCAGGTGTGGCTTTATTTCTTACAGGCATGGGTGTGCTTTCAAAGTACTGTTGACAATCCACCAATTGAGAAGAAAGAAAATAACTTTAAGTTTTGAGATTTTTAAAAGAAATTTTTGGGGCCAGCAGGTGGTGTGGTGGTTAAGGCACTGGACTCCCACAAGGCCAATTGTGGTTCAAATCCTGGAGCTGGTAGCTTACTTTCTCACTTTCCTTCTCTGTGTGTGTGTGTGTCTCTCTCTCTCCGGTCAAATTTGAAAAAAATAATAAATTAAATAATTATTTTTTAAAAAAGAAACTTAATGAATTTGGGGTAGGATGGGGAGAAGACAGGGGTGGGTATGTATAGTCCTGCCTAATTTTTTGTGACTCTACATATTTTAAGTAGTTGTTATAATAAAATTGATTTCTGTTACACTGTTTACCACTGTTAACAACACCGTCCTAAGTTTGATGTGGTTTTCACAGTTGTCATATCTGGTCAGTAGATAGCGCTCTTTCAGAAACGGGCCCTCACTGAATCATCCACCTACTGGTGGGTCATTCTCCTCCAGAGGAGTTTTTTTGCTTTAACTAACTTTGAAATATGTGTCTTTGGACATAAGACTTTTCAAAGTCTCCTTCTAAGATGGAATGATTTCCTAAGAACAACTTCACAAGAATGGAGTTGTAGAGCCTAAAGATAAGAGCTTGCTTTCTTTCTTTTTTTTTGGAGAGGTTTTTGCTATAGGGTGTGCATGCTCACCAGAAAGACAGAGAGAGACATAGAGACAGAAAGCGAGAAATCACCCCCCAGGGGGGATGGCCACACCGCAATCCTTTCTCCTCCATTCTCCTCTAGGGATCTTGGACATGCACACACATGCGCCTGGTGTGAGTTTAAGCCACCAGGTCCAGGACTCGAACCACAGTCGACTACGTGGGAGTCCAGCGACATAGCCATTACGCTAACTGCTGGTCCCAGAGCTTGCTATTTTTGTTTTTAAAGGTCTCTCAAAAAACTTGCTGTTTTTGTGTTTAGGCCAAATGACAGGTTTTAGCTGCTGTGCTGCTTTTCATAAATACAAAATAAAGCAAAAACAAAAACAAACTACACCCCTGTACTGAGAGGGAGGGAGCCACGAGGAAAAAGAAAGAAGCAAAACATTTAAGGGACACAGAAATGGGAAGTATCTGCTGACGATAACGTGCACGGTCAGATCATTGACTGGATTAATGCACGGTTTATTCATGCTGGGAAAATTCGTTTTGTATGTCGTCATTCTACACCGTGATTGAAGGTATATAAAATAATGTTATAAAATTAAATGACAAAAAAGCAAGAAGTATAATAACCCGGCTGTATACCAAAGTGTAATCGCTTGTGTCCCACGCTATTAGGATGAGATTAATTTGCTTTGCAGAAGGAATCCTACAGTCGTTTTTACAGCAAGTTCTGTCAACTGCAACCTTGTGTTTTACAAAGATGTGTCGATAAAGGAGTATCTGTCTGTCCCTCCTCGCCTTCTGTGTGCAGCTTGCCGGCCGGGATTCGAGTCTGGTCAGCTCGGAGCCCTGCGACAGAGCCTGACGCTGTTTCTGTTGTGTCTCCTCCCATTTCAGGTTTCAGAACTGTCGGAGTGCATCGGCTCAGCGCTGATCCAGAAGGGCTTCAAGGCTTCCCCAGATCAATTCATTGGCATCTTTGCTCAAAATAGACCTGAGGTATTCATCGTCAGAGACCTCACTGTGGATTTGGGGGCTCAGGTGGAAGAGCCAGGCCGAGGTCATACCTGATTCCACCGAGAACATAGCTTTGTGTTACACCCTGGAGAGTTCCACGTGAAAGCCTGAGCCAGGGACTTCCTAGCCTATAAGAGGGAAAACATACATGTGTATTTTTATTATTTGCTTTTGCTTTTTTAAACCAGTTCCCCCAACAAAATCTTTAGAATAATTAATGTATAAAGAAGCCCGCTTACTTTAAGGACTACCCTTGTGATTAGGAAAATAGCACCAGCACATTAAGAAGAAACTTTTGTTCACACCAAATCCTCATCTTTCCTTTCTGAAAAGTAGGAGGCTTTCTCTCTGGTGCTATCACAAAGTTGCAGATCCCACAGGCAGTGGGGAGAAAGCTCCTCACTGTGAGCTGGCCTGCATTTAGCCGTCCGACTGGCATTTGGCTGTCTAGGCCCAGCGTGGTACTTCAGTAAGCCATTTATGAAAGCGAATTTCAATGAGAAGCTCTCTTGGAGACACTGCGTATCGTGTTCGCCCACAGCGTAGAGGGCTTGGAGCTGAAGAAATTGAATTTATTTTTATGCCTACTTGTGTTCAAAAGACATGTTGGCTCAATCCCTCTGCTACTGATTATTTTATAAATTCGAACGACTTCTTAGAGTTTTATGTCCTGCCAAGAGAGGAACAGCGTTTTCCGTAGCGGAGTGATAACCAGGCTCATGGAATTTCATTTCTTTCATTCCAAAGGAAAACATCCAAAATATTTGATTCAGTGGAACTTTCTCATGAATCTACCACGTATTCGTACTTCAAAGAGTAGATTCCTTCCTGTGTTTGTGATTTCATTCCACAGCTGTTTATTGAGCTTCTGCTGTGTGCCAGATACTGTGAGAGGCATCAGAGCACACAGTGCCTTAGGTCCCCTTCCTGAGGTACCATGTAAGGAAAGACACACTCATAAGCTGATACGTGTAATGTGGTAAGTGCAGACACAGGTCAGGCTTAAGGGAGCTCCATCAAGGAGGACTTCCTGGAGGTGGTGTCTGAGTAGAATCTCAGGGGAATTAAAGACAGGGAAGCTAAAGAAGTGCCAGTGTACATTCATATCAAACAGCACACGTGTGTCACGGAATGAAGCATTTTGTGTGGTGGAGCATGGAGTGGCAGAATAAGAACGGTAAAGAGAACCGTATGTGTCATTCATGCCCTGCTAAGGATTTAGTTGGGCCCGGTGTCCATGCTGGAAGCTCGAAATCCATTCCACAAAAAAAAAAAAAAAAAAAAACACTGAGTTTCAGGCCATGGGACGGAGCTGCCCTCCCTTCCAACGGCAGCGGTGCATTTATCTGTGCCATGTACCAGAGTTCTGCCAGAGATTTATTTGAGAGGTACACCTGGACATAATGGGGGGCCCCTGAGGGATTAGGAGTGAAAGACTGATCTTCACTGTGGTCTTAGAGGAAGGAAAGTCACCCTGCGGCCAGTGAGTTTAGAGGCAAGATGAGCAATTACCGTATCCCTTCTTCCCTTCACTGCTTTTCTGGGGAGGTTTCTGCCACGTTTCCTGTTAGGCACGTGGGTGCCCTCCTTGCCCTATGCCCAGGCTCAACCATGCGTTGCTACCGGATTGATCTTCCTCAAGCCCCACAGCCACGGTGTGTCCTAGAAACCCTCCGTGGCTTCTGCACTGCCTGGGAAACAGGACCAGCCTCCTCCGCACACAGCTTGCGTCAGTCCAGCTCTGTAGCCTTAGTCACCCCCCACTCCCCTGCCAGCAGCGGCCCTGCCAGCCAGGTTGCTCACCGATACGTGCCCTGCCTTGATGGTGCAGTCCCCTCTTGGACCCTTCTTACCTGCCCCTCCCACCTCCCAAAACCAAATCGTGTTTTTCTTGCAAAAGGCAAGCCCAGTTACCTTCCCCATAGGTATGTGCCGTGGCCTTCACTGAAGTGGACTCTCCCACCTCTGAGTCAGCCCTTAGCTTGGGTTGTTAATGATCTTTTCACACATTTGCCTCAGTTCTTCAGGCAGATTGTAGTTTCTTTTGAAGGAGAGGACAGTTTTCTTCTTCTTAGGAGACTCTTATGGCTCTTGGCACAAAGTAGTAGCTACACGATTGTCATTTGCTTCATCAATCTTTTTTTAAAGAGGTTTTTGCTATAGGACGCATGCACTCACCAGACAGAGACAGAGAGACAGAAAGCGAGAAATAACCCCCCGGGGGGATGGCCATGCTGCAATCCCTTCTCCTCCATTCTCCTCTCGGGATCTTGGGCACGCACGCACACACACCCGGCATGAGTTTAAGCCACCAGGTCCGGGATGCGAACCGTGGTCGACTACGTGGGAGTCCAGCGACATAGCCATTACGCTAACTGCTGGTCCCTCATCAAATGTTTTCACGTTGAGTCTCTGAGTACTGTGCTCCTTGGAGGGATTCGTGATGATCTCGTGTTCTCTCCCAACCTTTCCTGTTTGTCTAGTGGGTGATCATTGAACAGGGATGCTTCGCTTACTCAATGGTGGTCGTGCCTCTTTATGATACGCTTGGAACCGAAGCCATCACGTACGTAGTCAACAAAGGTACGTCTGTGATCTTGGCATGGATGTTGGCCTACTTACTGGTTCAGTCTTGTGGCTTTGCATTTGCTAATGTTTGATTTATAGGGATCTTACATTTCAATGTACATCTACCTTTCCATTCAAAGAACACAGTCTGTAATATAGATATTAGAGAGTTAAGCTTGTAACATCCCAGAGCTTATTCCTCATTGTGTCCCTTCATTTACAGCTGAACTCTCTCTGGTTTTCGTTGACAAGCCAGAGAAGGCCAGGCTCTTATTAGAGGGTGTAGAAAATAAGTTAACACCAGGCCTTAAAATTATCGTTCTCATGGATGCCTGCAGCAGTGAGCTCGTGGACCGAGGCAAGAAGTGTGGGATTGAAGTCACCACCATGAAGGCCATGGAGGTGAGTTCTGCCCTGCCTCCTTCCCTGAGAGTTTCCCGGAGGACATCCGGCCCAGCCGGGAAGCCCAGACCTGCCGTGCACTTCCAACTCTGACTGGCTATCCCAGCAACCCCAAACAGGTAGCTGGAATTCCTGTCTTCCTCCTGGAAAGGAGAACTCTACACACATGCCTGGTATTGACACATCACAGCTTACAGAAGTACTCTCATAAAGGGAGCTGCAAGTGTTCACATATTCACTCCGGAGCACGGCCTAGCCAGACCAATAAATGCCTAAAACTGTAACTTTCAGTTGAGGCAGCTGGGATTTACATGTATATGTCCTCTGTCGACTTTAATGTATTTTACTTACTGATTTGTCTCTAAAACTGAACCTGCTATGGGGCTACTTCAAAAAGCTTGTGGAAAGTAGAGTTAAACTCTGAGTTTATTTTGATGAAGAATTTTTTAATTCATGCAGTTTTCATAATGCGCATTTGCCTTGAACTTTCGGGAGACCTCTTGTCTAGAAATCGGCCTTGTTATTCCTGTTCCCATAAATATGTACAGTTGTTCTGTGTCAGTTTAAAAATGGTTAATGTGGGAAATTTTATCTGCATTTTACCATCATCAAAACATTTTTTCACAAAAATTACATAGATGCGTAAGTGACTAAAGACCAAAATATAAAGTATAAAAAATCTTAATTTTTAGGACTGGCCCCCTAGCACAGAGGTTAAGCCCCATGTTTAAGGAGCCAGGTCCCACATGACCAACCATAGTTCAAATCCCAGCCCTGGCAGCTTGAAAAACACGCCAGGTGCACGTGTATGTCCAAAATCCTGATGAGAGGAAAGA